AAATACTTCCGTGGCATAAGTCTCAAATAGACTCCAACAATAATGCGGAACAATTTGTGAAGGCGGAGAACTGTCGCCTCATGACGAGCTGCTTCGGGTAAGATGGAGCTCGACAGTCAAAGGAGGCAGTCAATGTAAGAGAAGAAAAAACCTGATTTTTAATCTCCGCTGCCTTGTGGTCATACCAGTTCAGTTATCTGCCATGCGTGATACACGCTAGGTCGATCACGTATCTTTCGATATATGAATGACGAGGCAGACTTTTTTTTCCCGCAGTAGGTTAAGGTGGAGTATTGGATAGCGGCTCGGATTGAGGAATCGGAGAGCCGAGTTCGTATTCCAGTCGAATCCATTACATTCACTTACGTGCTAATACCTTTGGAAAAGGTATGAATCCTCTTCTTCTGTCCCAGGTATTGGTAAATAGCAGGACAGACCGGGTTCTTGCCTTGGATAACAACTGGTCTACCGCAGAAAGAAATGGTAGCCTACTGCAGGAAAGAACCTGCCTCGTCAGTCATATATCGAAAGATACATGCTCGCCTAAGTGTGTATCACGTATTACACATAACTGTCTGTGGTCATATACAAACACGGACATTTTTTTAATGCAGGGTTATAGATACAACATGTTCAATCGTGTGATTAACGGAGTTAAGCAACGTCAAGTCAGGTCATTACCGCTTGAGAATACCAAGTGCGGTGATCTTGTATGTGCGGCTGGTGTAATAGATGACTCGGAATTGAGAATAGGAGATCCGAGTTTCGATACCAGTCTGGTTCGTTATGTTCACTCACGCTCAAATAATCTTTGGAAAGTAATGAAATCATTTATTCTTCTACCCCAAGCTATGGGTTAAGTAGTAGGACTTTTATCAGTAAAACATTATTATCTCCAAAAATTCAAAAAACTTAAAAATATTTTCTGGCTTTAAATAACCTGCAAAAAGTTGATAAACCTTAAAATCAAACCAATCAATTTATTTAAAGCAGGCTGTTTCTTTTGAATAATAAGTTTCGAATAATTCATTTCCATACCGAACTGATACAATTTATTTTTCTATCTTTATGGTAGTTAGCCATGGTTAAGTGCAACTAGCAAAAATGTTTTAAGGAAGTAATTAAAAAAGTTCTAAATAAACAATAAGAAAAGAAAGAAAAGAACATGGACAAAATAATACTAAGCAATCAAAATATATGCAAGACAAAACTAGGCGAAGCAATAAGACAAAAAGTTCAGAGATAAAAATGTTGTTCAAACGCAAATGGGATACAGTCAAGTGATTCTAAAGTTCTGTCTTAAAGGCAAGAACAAAAAACAACATGGTGGTTAACATCGAGAAATGGACCATTTTTATTGGTTTGAAAGGAATCCTAACATCTGTCTGTAAGATTTGTCTACAAATTTTAGTATATTTTTTAGAAATAATTCCCATACATATAGGAACTAACAGTATCATCTACTAATATTAGTCTACTAATATCTACTAATATTTTCTATTAATATCTACTAATATTTGTCTACTAATATTTGTCTATTAATATTTGTCTACTAATATCTACTAATATTTGTCTACTAATATCTACTAATATTTGTCCACTATTATTTGTCTACTAATATCTACTAATATTTGTCTACTCATATCTACTAATATTGTCTACTAATATTTGTCTACTAATACCTATTTGTCCACTCATATCTACTAATATTTGTCTACGAATATCTACTAATATTTGTCTATTAATATCTACTAATATTTGTCTATTAATATTTCTCTACTAATATCTACTAATATTTGTCCACTCATATCTACTAATAATTGTCTACTGATTTTTGTCAACTAATATCTACTAATATTTGTCTACTAATATCTACGAATATTTGTCTACTAATATCTACAAATATTTGTCTACTAATATTTTTCTACTAATATTTGTCTACTAACATCTACTAATATTTGTCTACTAATATCTACTAATATTTGCCTTATTTTGTATTTAGAGAGAAAGAATTCATCTAAACTAGTTAAATTCAATCGAAAAGATCTGTCCGTTTAATATTTTATTGTATTTTCCTTTTTTCGAATGAGATATTGTACAATGAAGATTATTGTTTGTTCTGCTTTGTTGAAATACTTTTCACCTGTTTCAGCATTTCTCAATAATTACGTGTTGCCTATGTGTTGCCGGAACTATTTTTGTTGGCTCCATCCTGGTTTTGTTTCTAGAGTCTTGTGTGACAGACACTCTAGGAGAATTTTTTTCCCAAGACTTTATGAAAATTCGCAAGTCATAAAGAACTGGAATCAGAGGAGAGCTATGATCTCCATACGCCATGAAAGGATATGGATTTAAAAGTGCTTAAGAGATACGCTAATCTATCTAGCTAGGTCATCGACATTCACCGTAGCAGTTAAAACGAGTAACGCTCATCCGCTGAGTTCTCATGATTAAAGACGTACAGCCTCAGAGTCGCCGTGCTGATGACTCTGATTGGTCGAAGTTATTCCTTGTTTTAATTTGAATAGACTCGACTCTGCCAAGTTTTGGTACGCTTCACAGAACTACCAATGTGGATCTAACGCGCTATAAACAGATTTGTGACGTGGCTGTCTCAGGGTTGATCCTGGTCACGGCACCACTTGTGATACGGCCACCTGGCTCCAGTGTCGGATCCTTCGTTACGGCGCCAACGGTGACGTCGCTCCTCCCGGTCGTTCCTCCTGGGTCCAAGCGTGCCGCCCAACCCTTGGAATGAGTTATGTCATGAATAATATATATATATATATATATATATATATATATAAAAACACACACATTGCACGCACACACACACACACACACACACACTGTGTTTATATATATATATATATATATTTAGGTAAGGAAAAGTTTTAGAATCCGTATGGTAATCCCAAGGAGGATATAATCCAAAGAGCTCAAAAAACCAGAGAGAATATTAATTTAATTATATAACAGACAACCTTTTGTCATTATTTATTATATTTTATTTCCCCAAAAAATGATTTTCCTGGTTTCAGATCACGTTTCCAAACATAAAAAATATTTATATAATTTAATATATATAATTTATTTAAGAAAATAGTCTGACTGTTATTTAATTAAACAGTATTAATTACATTTCCCGGTCTGAACATTTGATTAAGTAAATTGAATATATTAAAAATAGCGTTTAAACAGAAAATATATTAATAATTGTCGTACTTAATCCATTTCATTATATATCTTACTTATTATAAAATTTCGTCGATTGTGTGTGTATGTGTGTCTGTACGTTTATATATTGATGAAGATTTCACATTTTTCAACTGATTTCAAACAAAACTTTATCACAAGACTACGTAAAATTACCTTGCGGTGGTTCTTGATAGCGCCAAAATTGAAAAAAACACAACGTTTTTGCAAAAAAATAAATTTGAAAACACGACTAAGAGGCATCACGAGAATGGAAGGGGGACAACTCATATCGAGTTATACTTATTAAAAAACCCAGTTTGTGTGTGTGTGTGTGTTCGTTTATTTTATGGGATCGGATTTCCTACATTTTTCAACCGATTTTAAATAAAACCTCACTTTTTTACAGGTAGTGTTTCTTATTGTTTTGTACACTTTTTTTCTTAATTTTTATATCAAAATGCTTTAAAAATCGCATTTATGACAATTGTTGTTAATAAAATTCTATTCAATCGGTAGACTCATAACGATTGAAAAAACAATGTTTTGTTTGAGTTTGACCAATTCTTAAAAAAAAAAAAAAAAACTAATTAAGACATGCGTGTCCGCCAACCTTAAACAATAATCTTTGTCAATTTTATTTTCAGTCTTTATGATGGTCGATGTTTGGGGTCCTCTTATATCCCGATCAAAACCGGGGTTACTAGTGTATATAGTATATATATATATATATATATATATATATATATATATATATATATATATAGTGTGAGAGAGAAAAGAGAGATAAAATATGTGCAGATTGTGGATAGAGAAAGAAAAAAACCAGGAAAGAAAGAAATCTAGATATCTTGAGATATCAGTGCCAAATATTCCTCTGATCATTTTGAAATCATTTCTGACAACTGAACGAAGCTATTCCAATAGTCTTTTGCTTCCATGCAAAATATCCGATAAATCGATCGAGACATCTTCATTATGGTTTTCAATTTCGCCACGTCAAAGTTCGTAATTATCTATCAACAATGTCGTACGCCCATTCCTTCTAACTTCCGCCTTCCACCTCGAACTTCATACGTTATTTCCTGTGCTGCTGTATCAAATGACCTCTGTCTGTTACCCATGGTAGGCATAAAGGGTCATTTTTTTTTGTCTTATTTTAATGATAAAAGACGCCATTTCTTTTTATTCCGTTGTACATTTTCTTATCTTCTTTTATCGGCTATTGTGTTTTTTATGAATTAATTTGAATGGGATTTAATTATAATTTCGAATATATTTTCTTTTTTTTCTTCTTTCATTGTTTTCTTGTATTTTCTCATCAATTTGTCTTATTAAAATAAAACGATTTCTTGCTAAACAACGCTGTCTTAATTATCCTTTATTCATTTAATTATATTTTGTTTTTTCCTTTCTTCGTTTGAACGCCATTTTTTTTTTTTCGATAATGCTATTTGTTACCTCGCTGAAGCCATTTCTGTTTCCATTTTCCTGGAGCTTTCGGTATTTAATATTACTTGCAATTACGGTATTTGATGGCATATAAATCATCTCAGGCACGACATTTTTTCTCATCCGAGAATACGTCCCAAAAATTTTTTTTTTCGTTCTTAGAGGTGACGTTGTGAAATCTCAGTTGATTATCATGAGTCGTACATAGACCAAAATCTATTGCATTTGGAACAGGAATTAGCCGAAACGTTTCAGCCAGACACAAACAACCCGTTGAATTAAACTGAATAAAGGCGCGGATCTTATATGCTGCCAAACATGGTAGATTATTTTAATATAGATAGATGTTGAACAGACATAGATAGATAGATAGATAGATAGATAGATAATGGATAGATAGATAGATAATCATTGAACAGATGCATAGATAGATGGATGATAGATAGATAGATAGATATTGAACATTTCTAGATAGATAGATAGATAGATAGATAGATAGATAGATAGATAGATGATAGATGTTGAACAGACATGATATAGATAGATAGATGGATAGATAGATGGATGGATGATAGATAGATTTTGAACGGACATAGATAGATAGATAGATAGATAGATAGATAGATAGATAGATAGATTTTGAACAGACATAGATAGATAGATAGATAGATAGATAGATAGATGGATGGATGTTGAATAGACATGGATGGATGGATGGATAGATGGATAGATAGATAGATAGATAGATGGAACAGATATAGATAGATGGATAGATGGATAGATAGATAGATAGATAGATAGATAGATAGATAGATGTTGAACAGACATAGATAGATAGATAGATGGATGGATAGATAGATAGATAGATGTTGAAATCTCCTCATGAGTTGTGAACAGACATCATAGACAGACAGACAGACAGTTAGGGTAGATACTGAACATAAATATTGAAATATAGATAGATAGATAGATAGAGAATAGATAGATAGATAGATATTGAACAGAGATAAATAGATATTGAAACAGACATAGATAGATAGATGATAGATAGATAGATAGATAGATAGATAGATAGATAGATTACAAATGAAACATACATAACTACATAGACATGTACAAATGATAGATAGATAGATAGATAGATAGATAGATAGATAGATAGATATTATATAGACAAAGATAGATAATTTTTCTCGCCAGAATCTATCTCACATCTTTATAAGTGTAACATATTCGTTCCTTACTTTTGAGTATTGCTGCTACATCTGGTCTGGTGCTCCTGCTACATAATTAGAGATTTTTGATAAAATACAAAAAATCTACAATATTGCTGATCCTGATATGGCATCTCGGCTTCGACTCTTCCACATCTCGTTCAGAAATATCTAAACTGTCACATGTTAGAAAACGATTTATCAGCCAAATGATTAAATTGGCTTAGAGAGAAACACACCACTGTAGGACTTGGATAGCTTTATATTACATCAAATCATAATGGCTGCCCCTAACACAATCACAAAGCATTTTACCAAGTAACAACCACTTCCACTTGTAAAGCTCCAACTGCAACAACAAATAAAGTTGATAGCACATGTAACTAGAAGGGAAAAGTAATAGGTGGTAATGTTGAACTCTGTGGCACCCCGCATTATTAGAAAAACTAAAAGAAATATTCAGAAATATGATTTAATTTTATTCGGTTTATTAACCAGTTGTTAGTTATTTTAGACGAAGAATAATTTGAGTTTTGAGAATAATTTCTCTAATTGTATTTAGGCGACCCTAAGGGGAAGAAGAAGGGAAAAGAAAGAGGAAAAGAAAGGAAAAGAGAGGGGAGATGGGTAATGCAAAAACCGGTCATAAGCGAAAACAGTGTCAAAAGAGATATCTAGGCCAACGCGCCTGACCGAATTTCGAACAATAGAAATTAAGAATAAGTCTAGAGATAATGAAAGAAATAAAAAAGAAAACAGACATGGTAAAAGTGGATGAACATACGTACGATTGATAAAATATCGGTCAAAACATCTATTTTCTTTTGTGTCCACGGAATGTGAAGCTCATTATCAATTGAGAAATGGGATTTTTAGAACAATGGAAACGAAATATTAATCGGAAAGGGGTGTCTTTTGAATGAGAAGGTGACCGCTGGAATTGTATACAGATCCTGACCTGTTGAAGATTAGAACCCCACGATGATGAAGTGAGGATATTTTCAATTCAGATAAATTAAGATTTTGACTGTCAGGCCTGAACGAAAATAAAGGAATGAAAACAATTGTTTTGGCTCACAGAAAGCGCCAGCGAGACGAGAAAATTCCTGAAGTCACATCTAATTAGCGGCGGGCTGTTTTGACAAAAAACCAAAAGGTGAGAAAGGCTGAGATTGTCATTTTCGTGGCAAAAAGGAAAAAGGCCAAAATTGGATTTTTTTTTTTTTAGCAAAGGTGTTTCTTTCCCAGAACAAAGCTGGATAGGCCCGCCTGGATTGGAGACGTCACGAAGGACGGAGACGCCCAACCAGAATCTCTATTAGGCCGAAAGCGGTCACGGATATGCGAGAAAGAGGAGAAAGGACGCTCAGGACCCATTGGTCGAAAAAAAAACGGTCACCTGACATACGAGACCGGGAGAGATGGTATGCGCCTCCCCCAGAGGCACTGTGGAGGAGGAGGGGTGAAAACAAGAGCGATAATGGGAAATCAGAACTATCGCGACTTTTGGAATTATCAAGAAAACCCCTGACGCCGACAGACCCACCCCAGTTTGTTGCGGCGTCAATAAAAGCAGGACCCCAATCGACAGAAATCAGAGAGTTGCGGGCAGACGGCCAGAGAGTTGGAGATGGACGCATGGGCCTTTGTTCATTTGCCCCTTGCGGGGCAAGAAGGGTTTATCTCGTTTGGCCCGGACAGGCAGAGAAGGTAGCCAAGTCGAAGAGAAGAAAATTGCTCGAAAGCCGCAGAGAAGTTGGAGCGGAATTGCAGGCCAGACAAGAAGAAGAGCTGCAGGCCAGACAGGCAGAAGAATTGCAGGCCAGACAGGCAGAGAGCTGCAGGCCAGACAAGCAGAAGAATTGCAGGCCAGATAAGAAGAAGAGCTGCAGGCCAGACAAGCAGAAGAGCTGCAGGCCAGACAGGCCGAAGAATTGCAGGCCAGATAGGCAGAAGAGTTGCAGGCCAGACAGGCAGTAAAAGTTGCAGGCCAAACAAGCAAGTTGAGTTCAGCCCCGGAAGGCAGAGAGAAGAGTCTACCTCAGACGGCAGAGAGAAGAGTTCGGACCTTAGCGAGAAGAGCTGCAGGACGAAGAAGAAGAAGTTACTTGCAGTTGCGTCTAGAAGAAGTTGAAACCAGGCTGCTTCCGAGGGTGGAAATTGTCCAACCCAAATCGAAGTGAAGAAATACGTCCAACTCAAGTCGAAGTGAATAAGCCGTCCAACTCAAGCCGAAGAGAAGAATCAGCCGTGAACGACTGGTAGAGATTAGCGCCCAGTGTCGAAACCAAACCACACCCGACATACAAAATTCTAGAGAGTAGCAAACTGGAAGTCTTTAAATTGTATGATAGAAGCTTGGTGCCACAGTCCACAAAACGGGTCAGGGAAGTAAGAATAATTTTTATGTAACGAACATTAGATATAAAAGGTTGTTACCCTTTCTTATCAGTAATTTTTTGCCTCGTGAGTTTTTTCTTTTTACTTGTGTGTTGCCAAATTTCGTTGAACCCAGCTGGACTACGGCCCCGACTCCTGTTTGATCTCGCCTGTCTAAGATCTAATCACAACGTGGGTAGGCAGACCGGAGATCAGTACAGTTACCTAGTAACCAGGTGTTGCGAGTTGAGGGGAACGGCGAGGCTGGTAATCATCTAACCAGAGGGTTGGAACGTCACACTTGGAGCAGCGAGGAGCGAACAGCTGACGCTGCGGCAAAAACATCACAACTGGTGCTGTCCGTGACAAGGATCGACCCTGGGCGGCCACATTACGTCACGTCACAGTTGGAGCCGAACGAGATCGAACGACAGAGTCGACGCTGCGACCAAAGAGGGGCGACGTCACACTTCCACAACTTCTTCTAGGTGCCATCAGGATATCGGCGATCGCAACTCTTTGAGGCCTTTTCTACCCTTTTTACCATGTCTCTTGTGTCCAGTTTCGTCATCTGTTCACACAATCTAGTCAGTTAGTTGTTCCGCTACCTCCCTCATCCCTCTTTCCCTATATATGTCTAGTGAGGTAAAATTCCCCAAGCCCTTCTTCTTATTATGTGTCCAAGAAATTTTCACTGTGTCTTCTGAGTAAATGTGTAAAGTGCCCAGTTTGTTAACATTTTATGACTTCATCTCTGCTTAATCGCTCACCCATGGAGTTCTCAGTATCCTCCTGTAGAATCCCACATTTCTGGTGTCTCAAGTTTAACGTCATCAGTGGGAAGATTGTCCTGCATTTACTGTATTACAATAGGATTGATATCACATGACATTTCGACGGTCTTGCTTCAACGAAAAGATTAGAAGTGATTCTCATCGTTGCTAGAAAAGAGCGATAACAGTTATGTGATTTTAAAGGTTTTATAGATTTTAATAGAGAGTAACGCTAACTCTTTGGTCAAATAATTTCTAACGTTTCCTTGTAACGAAATGTCTATTCGTAAAATTCTCATTCACATTAAGACAATTTGTCAAGAGTTGACTCTGTACAAGTAGCAAGCAGCTCAGCTCACATTATTCTAACCGTCTGAAAGCAACTCACTCACCATAGGTTTTACGACGTGTCAGTCCAGAAGCAACTCCACATATCGAAGTGTTTAACATATTTTTTTTTCACGGCGGTGTTCAAACTCCACAAGACAGGGTACTGGAGGTAGAGGTTGTGCGAATATATGTGGAAGATAAACGGTTAAACCTGGACTTGAATCAGAGAAGTGATCAGGGAAGTAGCCACTTAGGGAGGCGGTTCCACGATGTTGTCATTTGTGGAAAGAACAGGCTTCAGTGTAAATTACACCTCACCAGGAGAACATCAAAAGAATAAGGGTGGTTCACAAAATGTGCGTAGCATGGCAGGTCATAGCCATGATGGTTAGGAAACAGTGAAACTAAAGGGGATATGAAAGGAATGGCGGTAGTTTGCTACAATATGCGTAGCATGGCGGGACTTAGCGGTGAAGGATGGGGCGAGTGGAGCCTAAGTTGATATGAAGGGAATGATTGTGATTAGCTGCAAAAACCACAACATGGCAGGTTCAGTCTGGTTGGTTTTGTTTTACGGGCATATCAATCTCAATGATTAAATGCCGACAAAAATTTTATTTCTGGTAATATTTTTTCAAAGATGTATAGCTGGTAACATCTTTTTTTCCCCCAAAATGTATTTTTGGTAATATTATTTTTTCAAAAATGTTCTGCTGGTAATAAATATTTAAAGGTATTTTTTAGATATTAAAACCTATTTTTTACACTTCTGTATAGTGTTTGATCCCAATTTGGTGGCTAACTATTTACCCATAGTTGGGAACGGAACAAAATTACCACACCCGATTAGGACGAGTGGAATTAAGTTGATATGAAGAAAATGGGGTGGATCGCCACAATGAATATAATATTGCGGGTTTAGTCATAAAGATTAGGACTGGTGCAAATGAGGTGATCTGAACAGAATGGATCACTACAATTCACGTAGCATAGCGGTTCTTAGCCGTGAAGGTTAGGACAAATCGATCTAAGGTGATATGAAGAGAATACATGTGGATTGGGACAATGTAGTGTAAAGCATGGCGGACTTAACCGTGAAGACTAGGACTGTTGGAACTAAGGGATATGATGGGAATGAGGGCAGTTCGCTTCAAGCTGCGTAGCATGGCGGATGTTAGCCGTGAACGTTAGGACGAGTGAAATTAAGGATATATGAAGGAATGGGGATGCTTCGTTACAATATGCATAGTATGGCGGTCTTGCCGTGATATTTAGGACTGGTGGAACTCTTGATATTAATGGAATGAAACTAGTTCGTTTAATGGGCATGCAATATATCGGATCTTAGCCTTGAACTTTAGGACTATTGCAAATTAAGGGATATGAAGGGAAGGAAGGCGTTTCTCTAAAATATGCGCAACATGGTGGTCTTTGTTGTGAATTTTAGAACTGGTGGAGCTACGGGTATGTATGAATGAAATGTAGGTGGGTCGTTAGTAATGTATGCATAGCTTGTTGTGTCTTTAGCCTGAAATATTGGACCAATTGCAGGGAGAGAAAGTTGCAATGAGGGTGCTTCACTACAATGTACATACTACCATAATATCTTAGTCATGATGTTTAGAACTGGTAGAACTAGGGTCATATGAAGATAATGAGGTGGGTGGTTTGATAATATTGCGTAGTACGTTAGTACTGGCGGAACCAAGGGATAGGAGGAATATGCGTGGTCTGCTACAACATTGACAGCATGGCGTGTCTTAGATGAAGGTTATCACCGGTGGACTAATTTATATGAAGGGAATGATGGCGGTTCGCTTCAAGGTGCGTGGCAGTATGGCGGGTCTTAACCGTGAAGATTAGGACTCATAGAAATAAGTGCTTATGAAAGATTGAGGGTGGTTCGTTTTAATATGTATAGCATGGCGTGTCTTAACCGTGAGGGCTATGTCTGGTGGAACTCAGGGATATGAAGGCAATGATGGCGGTTCGTTTCAAAGATTGCCAAGCATGGCGGGTCGTGATCGTGTTTTCATATCATTACAGCCGTTAACTAACGATAATGGTTACGCCGTCAAATCAAATGATGATACGCAATTAAAAGCTGGTCTCTGTATTTCTTTTCATGTAATTCCCCAATAAATTTACGGAGAGGCAAACATTTCTGGTAGGACAACAGCTTGGACTGGCAAGAAATAAGATTTCAGAAAATAGTGTCCCTTTGTGTGTGTGTGTGTGTGTGTGTGTGTGTGTGTGTGTGTGTTTATGTGCGCAGTTTTATTAATTTTTATTCAATTCTGGCACAAGGACTGTGAGAAGTATATCCTCTCTCAGTATATTTTTTATATCGATTTATCTCCAGTGCCTACCATTTTTCCAGATTAGATTATTTGGCACAGAATAACTGGAGAATAAAATGGCGTTAGAGGGAATACGTAAATAAAACTTTAATTGAAAAATTTTGAACATCCCCAACAAAAATAGTGCCGACGGATATATATATATATATATATATATATATATATATATATATATATATATATATATGTAGAAAAACGAAACACCATTAAAAAATTTTCTAGGTCTTATTCCCATAAAATGTTTATTGTATGTTTATCGACTAAAATCAAAATATAAAATAATGAAAAGCACAACATGAAGGAAAGACATGAGACAAAAGAATTGTTGTTCTACAGAAGGATCCTGAGAATAGCATATACTGAGCATGTGGATAAGTGAAAAAGTTTTAAGGAAAGGGATACAGAAATGACAATTATACTTAAATCCTGAAAGAAACAATTGAATTTTGTAGGACACATAATGAAGAAAGAAGGCTTAAAGAAATCAACACACTCTAGGCGGAAGAACAGACAGGAAACATCGAGTAACTTATCTAAGAGGTTTGTAAATGGATGTCCGAACAATGGTGAAAAAAACAAACATTACGATCAGCTAAAAAGGAGATGAAAGCGGAGCCAAGATCACCTTTCACTGAAGGAACACGGCACAAAGAAGAATTATATTATCTATATGTAAACACATGAAGAAACACATACCTCAGGTTGGATCAAAAAAGTTCGTTTGCTCAACAGATAGTTTTATTACAAATTTCCCTTTTATGACGTTCGAGATCCGGGATTAATATTCAATTCGAAATTAAGTATGTATTTTTCATTGCGCCCCCCCTGTCACTACCAAGTGTGGCACAAGGTCACTTTTTTAAGTGGGTTTTAATGGTAATTCTGTCGAAAAATTGCTCAAGCTCCTCGGCACTTCCCTTTTGAGGACGACTCAGTCATCAGGTAATGACCTCGGCCTCTCCTCGAGGGGAGGTAACTGACTGGTGGGATTGCTCCCTGGGGCTTACGACTTGGAATTAAGTAATTTGACAAGAAAAAAAATAATTGAAAATAAATATGAGTCATGGAAAATAAAATTTTCTTAATTACGAGGCTACTGATATTTTCACGAACACCTCACAACGCCCCCTCACACATATATGTTAAAAATCATGCACGATATTTTGTAATTTATTTTGATTTCTAGTGTTTTTGCTTACCTAACACTTTATATATTTAAACAGCCTTAATTTTTGTGGAGTAAGTAAAACACCTAGTGTATATAAATGTTTATATAGGTATATTACATATATTCCCAAAGTTGTCGTAGCTGGAGGCGATGGTGCTAACTAGTTCCATTGCCTATAAAATACTTCCGTGGCATAAGTCTCAAATAGACTCCAACAATAATGCGGAACAATTTGTGAAGGAGAACTGTCGCCTCATGACGAGCTGCTTGGGTAAGATGGAGCTCGACAGTCAAAGGAGGCAGTCAATGTAAGAGAAGAAAAAACCTGATTTTTTTCCGCTGCCTTGTGGTCATACCAGTTCAGTTATCTGCCATGCGTGACACGCCAGGTCGATCACGTATCTTTCGATATATGAATGACGAGGCAGACTTTTTTCCCGCAGTAGGTTAAGGTGGAGTATTGATGGCGGCTCGGATTGAGGAATCGGAGAGCCGAGTTCGTATTCCAGTCGAATCCATTACATTCACTTACGTGCTAATACCTTTGGAAAAGGTATGAATCCTCTCCTTCTGTCCCAGGTATTGGTAAATAGCAGGACAGACCGGGTTCTTGCCTTTGATAACAACTGGTCTACCGCAGAAAGAAATGGTAGACTACCGCGGGAAATAACCTGCCTCGTCAGTCATATATCGAAAGATACATGCTCGCCTAAGTGTGTATCACGTATTACACATAACTGTCTGTGGTCATATACAAACACGGACATTTTTTTAATGCAGGGTTATAGATACAACATGTTCAATCGTGTGATTAACGGAGTTAGCAACGTCAACGTCAAGGTCATTACCGCTTGAGAATACCAAGTGCGGTGATCTTGTATGTGCGGCTGGTAATAGATGACTCGGAATTGAGAATAGGAGATCCGAGTTTCGATACCAGTCTGGTTCGGTTATGTTCACTCACGCTCAAATAATCTTTTGGAAAGTAATGAAATCATTTATTCTTCTACCCCAAGCTATGGGTTAAGTAGTAGGACTTTTATCAGTAAAACATTATTATTCCAAAATTAAAAAAACTTAAAATATTTTCTGGTTTTAAATAACCTGCAAAAAAGTTGATAAACCTTAAAATCAAACCAATCAATTTATTTAAAGCAGGCTGTTTCTTTTGAATAATAAGTTTCGAATAATTCATTTCATACCGAACTGATACAATTTATTTTTCTATCTTTATGGTAGTTAGCCATGGTTATGCAACTAGCAAAATGTTTTAAGGAAGTAATTAAAAAAGTTCTAAATAAACAATAAGAAAAGAAAGAAAGAACATGGACAAAATAATACTAAACAATCAAAATATATGCAAGACAAAACTAGGCGAAGCAATAAGACAAAAGTTCAGAGATAAAAAATGTTGTTCAAACGCAAATGGGATACAGTCAAGGATTCTAAAGTTCTGTCTTAAAGGCAAGAACAAAAACAACATGGTGGTTAACATCGAGAAATGGACCATTTTATTGGTTTGAAAGGAATCAACATCTGTCTGTAAGATTTGTCTACAAATTTAGTATATTTTTAGAAATAATTCCCATACATATAGGAACTAATAGTATCATCTACTAATATTAGTCTACTAATATCTACTAATATTTTCTATTAATATCTACTAATATTTGTCTACTAATATTTGTCTATTAATATTTGTCTACTAATATCTACTAATATTTGTCTACTCATATCTACTAATATTGTCTACTAATATTTGTCTACTAATACCTATTTGTCCCTCACATTCACTAATATTTGTCTACGAATATCTACTTAATATTTGTCTATTAATATCTACTAATATTTGTCTATTAATATTTCTCTACTAATATCTACTAATATTTGTCCTCCATATCTACTAATAATTGTTACTGATTTTGTCAACTAATATCTACTAATATTTGTCTACTAATATCTACGAATATTTGTTCATTAATATCTACAAATATTTGTCTACTAATATTTTTCTACTAATATTTGTCTACTAACATCTACTAATATTTGTCTACTAATATCTACTAATATTTGGCTTTATTTTGTATTTAGAGAAAGAATTCATCTAAACTAGTTAAATTCAATCGAAAAAGATCTGTCCGTTTAATATTTTATTGTATTTTCCTTTTTTCGAATGAGATATTGTACAATGAAGATTATTGTTTGTTCTGCTTTTGTTGAAATACTTTTCACCTGTTTCAGCATTCTCAATAATTACGTGGAACTATTTTTTGTTGGCTCCATCCTGGTTTTGTTTCTAGAGTCTTGTGTGACAAGACACTCTAGAGAATTTTTTCCCAAGACTTTATGAAAATTCCAAGTCATAAAGAACTGGAATCAGAGGAGAGCTATGATCCTCCGCCAAGAAAGGATATGGATTTAAAAGTGCTTAAGAGATACGCTAATCTATCTAGCTAGGTCATCGACATTCACCGTAGCAGTTAAAACGAGTAACGCTCATCCGCTGAGTTCTCATGATTAACGACGTACAGCCTCAGAGTCGCCGTGCTGATGACCTGATTGGTCGAAGTTATTCCTTGTTTTAATTTGAATAGACTCGACTCTGCCAAGTTTGGTACGCTTCACAGAACTACCAATGTGGATCTAACGCGCTATAAACAGATTGATCGTTCATCATCTTAATGCGTTAACACCTGTTTGTATAATAATAATATGAAAATCATACAAGCATCTCAGAATAAATAGGAACCCCAAAAACATAAGCCAAATACAACAAAAATAATATCGAAAATAAAAAAACAGCACCAGCCTACAGCAAATCCTCAAAACAAAGAGACTGCTTTCATTATTTATATATATATATATATATATATATATATATATATATATATATGTGTATGTGTGTGTGTGTGTGTGTGTGTGTGTGTGTGTGATGGATGGACTCTCCGTCGAGTTCGACGTAATGAGGTTCTGACGACCACGGACTAATTATCTGCATGCCTATGACGGCCATGACTTTTGTGCTTTCGTGTTTCATGTAGTCGACGGATGCTTACTTCTTGATGGTGTATTATTCTTGAATGGCAGCGACAACGATAAGCTGATCTCTTCATAATTACCTCTTCAAAGTTCTTGAATGAAATGTTGACGCAAGAAATGTTGCTCTTCAGTTTATCTTTATACTTGAGCCAAGGTCTACCAACATTTCTATGACAACTATGGAGTTCAATGTAGAAAAGAACTTTTGGTATGCGATCATCACTCATCCTTGCCACATGGCCAGCCCAAAGTGGTTGAGATCTCATTATGAATGTCTCGATGGTACCAATCTTGCATTTCTCAAAAAGGTTGGCATTTGACACACGATCATCAAACGGTATATATATATATGCATATGTGTCTGTGATGGACTCTCCCGTCGAGTTCGACGTATGAGGTTCTGACGACCACGGATTGTACGGAGACAGCCTTTATGGAAGACATCTAATCGATTAGTGCGCCATCTATAAAGTGTCGAAGTTTCATATATATTTATATATATATATATATATATATATGTGTGTGTGTGTGTGTGTGTGTGTGTGTGTGTGTGTGTGTGTGTGTGTGTGTGTGTCGATGCAGTCTGTTTCATGCTTGAAAGCCACCTCTAATCATTGGGATTGAGTTAAAGTGTGAAACAGACTGCCGCTACTCGGCCTTGACATCACTGTCACCTCTTATAGATAGATAGATAGATAGATAGATAGATAGATAAGGATGGTTTCCGGCATAAAATAACATTCATCACGCTGTACTAAATCAATGACCACTCTCTTTATTTCTCCTCCTCTCTCCCTCTCTCTCTCCCCCCTCTCTCTCCCCTTCTTTCTCTCTCTTTCTCTCTCTCTCTCTCTCTCTCTCTCTGTCTGTATAAGATATATTCTTGAAATACATTTATAAAATGAAACGGTGGATGTCGCCAGTGATATCGCCCTGGCTTCATTACGAGTTTCGGTCTGCCAGTTACCCTGACCTGTTGACAGGCAGACTCGATGCATAATTTGCCACAAAAAAAAAAAAACATTTTTAAATGTATCAAGAGTTAGATCTCATATTTGTAATGGCATTGAGATTTGCATTAGCCAATCAAAGACTGTTTTGCATGCTATCCACAGGTATAAAGGTCGGCAGCGCGCTTTCCGTTATTGCCTCCCATGCGCATACATCGATATTGTCGTTGTTTCGCTAAAAGTTTCAAAAACATCTTCCCATGCAAGTCTTAATTCCATATTAGAATATGTTCCCATAAACCTATATACATTCATTCACTTATTAAACCAGTGTGTGCATCCACAGACAGACTGTTTCAAACTGTGACCAAATAACCGATTGCCTCTAGCCCGGATCGAAACCCGACTGATCTCGTATCAGCCGGAGATTTTACCCCTAAACCATTGGGGAACAGCAGGGATCAAACTCCACTGACCGGAAAACTCGATTCGTCTTAACGAACAGTCTTACACCAGCAGCAGCAGTAGCAGTCACTGTTTACAAATTCACTTTTTCTCCCCGAAGAGCTCAACAGAAATAATATTTTCAGGGATATATATATATATATATATATATATATATATATATATATATATATATATATATATATATATATATATATATATATATAATAAGTAGGAGGATTTGATAAACATATAAATGAATAAATTCATTGAGTCCGATATAAATCTCAACTGAAAAATAGAGGAAGCACTGGACGGCCGTTTCGTCCTATAATTGGGACTCATCAGCAGTGCGCATCCACCACCAGATATCGAAACCCTGACAGCTGGGTTATTATGTATTTATTGTTGCTTGATCAGGCTTCTAATGCTCCAGTTGGCGCGGCTTGGTGATATTAGTCGTGGCTCCAGGAGGCACAGTCTTATGGTTATATATTGAACTCAGGAGTAGTTCTGCCACGGAATATGTGAGTGAGTGGCGCTATGTGGGTCTGATATGATTCTCTTCGGTGTCGAGGCCCGGTTGGTACAGTTGGTATGTTGTCTGCTTGACAACCCAGCTGTCAGGGGTTTCGATATCTGGTGGTGGATGCGCACTGCTGATGAGTCCCAATTATAGGACGAAACGGCCGTCCAGTGCTTCCTCTATTTTTCAGTTGAGATTTATATCGGACCAATGAATTTATTATATATATATTTATTTATATATATATATATATATATATATATATATATATATATATATATATATATATATATATATATATATATATATATATATATGGTATATATATATATGGTATTTAACATTGTATTTTATTTATATTTCAGATACGTTTGAATAAAGATGCTTGGATTGGTTGGCGTGAGCCACTAGAGTGGGTATCCAAACCCCAGACCTTAACCCATTTGATTTTAACATTTGGGTTCATTTGAAGGCCATGGTATATCAGGAAAAGATACAAAACATAAATCAGTTCAAGTAACGTATCATCAACGCCATTACAATTACGACGACAACTGTTCTCGAACGTGTTGCTCAGCCATGGAGGACAGGCATATAACAGTATGTGCAACAGACTGGCAGTCATGTACAGCATATTGTATAAATATTTTTTTCATATAAGAAGGTTTATTTTTCCTCCCTATGCAAGTGCATTAAACACCTATATATATATATATATATATATATATATATATATATATATATATATATTTCTGAGATGAGGTATTATGTACACTATTTACATTATTCGGACTATTGTCCTCATTTTTGTCGCCATATTTATTACAACGTTTCGTCCATTGTACGCTCCGGCCTTCTTCAGGTGGTTAGAATGTCGAACTGAACCCTTCATTTCGCTCACTAAGGTAGAGTGTTCTAGTTCTACGTGCCATGTCTAATGGATGTCAGTTATCAGTTATCTCCTGTTTAATTCCCTCTCCAAGTTCTCCACCGCCTTAACTATGTATTGAATTCACACTCTTTGGGTCTTGTCACTGGATCTAACTAACAATTTGCATTTTTTGTTGTTATTTTCTCACTAGAAATGCGATAATAGCAACAAAAATTGCAATATGAGCTCTGGTAAAAAAAGCATGCAATGATAACAGCAGAAATTTCAATATGATCCCTGGTAAAAATGGTTGCTGAACACATAAGGTTTATAATACCCAGAAATTCATACACAGATGTCCTCAAGGACACATTGCACAATGGAGAAAGGCGTTAGTTAGATCAAGTGACAAGACCCAAACAATGTGAGTTCAATACCTAGTTAAGGCGGCAGAGAGGGAATTAAACGGGAGATAACTGATAACTGACATCCATTATACATGGCACGTGGAACTAGAACAGTCTACCCCAGTGAGCGAAATAAATCGTTCAGTTCGACATTCCAACCACCTGAAGAAGGCCGGAGCGTAGAACGGCCGAAATGTTGTAATGGCGACAAAGATGAGGACAATGTAAATAGTGCTTATATATATACTTATATGTGTGTGTGTGTGTGTGTGTGTGTGTGTGTGTGTGTGTGTGTGTGTGTGTGTGTGTTAGATAAATCAAACGGCTAGATATGAGCAAACATATACGCGTGTGCTGGTGTGCATACCCGGGCAATCAAATAAATAATCGTTTATATATATATATATCATGTGTGTGTGAGTTTCTGAAATGTCGTAGAAAATGGACGCACATCAGTTGAAAGATTTAAGCTTTTCTCTTTATTCGGTCTAATTAACTTCATTTATCTTCCTCATTTCTTGATGTGCGCGTGGTATATCGGTTTTCCGCGAGCAGTGTTGAATTTCCTCACTAGATTGTTGTATTAACTTCGTAATAATGCCCTGCACAAAGCCTTGAACCCATTTGTTCACCATCACCTGTGGGTTGAATAACAGGGTACACTGGACAACCGAGATCTGTCCAGCAGCAAAGAGAAAAATTAATCTGAATTCAAACCGTATGTAAGGCGACAGTGAAATTTCCCCTGAAATTATAGCGATTTACAGATGATAAATAGAAAAGGAATGAACAGTCTAAAATCCAATTTTCCATCTACCACCGGAAGTTGATTAACTTATAGTGTAAGCTGAGGTTTGTAGCTTTAATAAGCAGACAATCCAGAAGATTTCTAAATTGCCAAAATTACAGTATAGCTGGCCATGGTGGATACTAATCTACTAAGGCGTCTAGCCAATCCCCATTATAGACGCTTCCTCAGGTGTATTTATGTTTATTTGTATTGTGGTTTATACTGCAACTATGCTGACCAGACCTTAGTTAGAAGTTTCTGAGAAAGAGCGTGTTATCTAGCGTCATCAACACGATGACTTTTGACTTCGTAGCACGAAGTCACAAGTCATCGCAAACCTATCGACGACACCCAAGGGTTCCGTCTAGCCGTGGTATAGTTTTCAGGTTTTCCAAAGATGCCGCACGCTGGAATCGACCCCTCCGATAACATCAGGAAATCTCCTTCCCGACAAATCGACTATGATGAGATTCGAACCCGGGTTTCATTTTACAGAATGCGAACGTTCCAGTCGGCCATGATTGCAGTAGGTGACGTGAAAAGACGCCATTGTTTTCCGAATCCTCTTTATGGACAATGAATAAAAATATAAATATTCTTTCATTTTTTTTCTTATATGTCTCTACTTATAAAACGATTTGGTAATTCTCTCTTTATATCATATACTTCCGCTTTATTTCTGTTTAGTTTTATTTGAATTGTTTATAGAATCTATCCAAAATACCTACATGCTGACTTATTAATTAATCAAGAGACTTGCAATTTCTATACGTTGTAGCCAACTTTTAATATCTTCCTTACCTACTGTGTACGAACTCGTTCCGTTGAGAGGCTAAATTATAAACGTCAATTTAGCTGCAATTGGGCGACACTTCTCATTGCGATCGCAATTTTGCAATGGCATTAGCTTCGCAGGATAAAAGCATTTAATCACACAAGTAGCAATCAATTGGTGTTAGATCTGGGAACGCTGTAAATATTCCACACTACATCTCTCCCCCGAACAACAATCTGCCTCGAACACTTTCGACATTGCTACGCTCAACTGAGATAATATCGGGGTAAGAACAGGCATGTTAATGAAAATCCTATGTCCTACATTTTATCGAAGTCGGACAAAGCTTATATATTCACTGTTGTTTGTTTATTCGCAGAATATCTCCAAAGCTTCTGAATAAATTTCAAAGATTTTTATATATATATATATATATATATATATATATATATATATATATATATATATATATATTGTGAAATGATATGGATTGCTGCAAGGGAAAAGGATTAAATTTTTGGAGCGGATCCAAGAATATTTTTTCTCGATTTAGGGACATTTTAACCATTTAGGAAATAGCACAATGTATATATATATATATATATATATATATATATATATATATATATATATATATATATATATATATGAACTGACAAATTTACCTTGCATTCGGTGTGGTTCAATTCTACTTTGACCCATTTTTTTTAATCATTTCACCCCAAGCAATGCATTGAAGCCCCCAAATTGCAAGGGGCTACTGCGTGAGGATATGAGAAAAAAAAGCAGTTAATTAGAGAGAACAATAAAAGTATTAATTTTGGAATTAAGAAGACAGAAGATAACGATAGACATTGCATTTAAAATTGACTGGGACACAAGCAGCCGGAAGTGATTTTCACAAGCGAGAAATGCGTTTGAAGAAACTGTTAGCATAGAACCTACGGTTTCATCTATGTATTTCTACTGTAAAAGGAT